ATTTCGGAGTATCAGCCAGAACACCGACAGGATGAGCCCTGGCATGCTCGGCTGTCACTTTGATTGGATAGTAAACGATTGTCGTAAAATCGCTATATGATTTTAAAACCGGGCGCATAAATTTGAAAGCCACCTAGATGAACCTAAGACTGCCACATTAATCTAATACAATGCAAAAAAGCCCTATCAAAAGTGGTTAAAACATTCAAACCGAATGTCGTAAAGTCCCCATATACCCCCATAGAGACAATAAAATAGAGTACTCTAAAGTAAGAGTACAGTTTCAGGTTGTTCAGCCGAGCGTGGATGAGCCCGCAGTCGTGCTACAAAATTTATTCTGGGGTATGATACTCCGAAATGCGATCTGACACACACCTTGAAAACGGGTAGCGTGATCCGATATACCGGTTAATTCAGGATCCTTAGGTGCCGAGTCTGGTAGTTGGGTAGGCCTGAAGAATGCTTTCTCTTATCTGGGTCCATTTTGTTCTGACTTACTTTTCAGAGAGCGTCATTAAGCAAGCACGTGACACAGGCCCGTAACAAGACCCTGGGGGGGGGGGGGGTCGGGGGGTTCGAAAGCACACACACACACACACCCTTTTTCCGGGAAAAGGTCCCCTCTAGGTTTCATGGTAAAAGGTCCACTTTTTCAGGAAAAAAAACTTTTGAAATTGTTGGCTACGGGCCTGTGACATAAAGTATGGATTTAAGAAGAAAAATACTTTAGGGCAATACCCAATACAATATTTTAATATAAACAACTGCAGAATAAATGTGTTTGTATAAACCTATGGTCCATTTTAATACCCACTGTATATTACATTTAAACAGAACAAATGAACATGTGCTTGGCGTCAAAGAATAAAGGAGTTAAACAAAGATTTAATAAAATCTTGCATTGGCGTTTTGAAACCTGATACATTAAAATTCATTTGGCATTCGTTATTTTAACTGATAAATGTAGCAATGAATGATGATTAACAATATACATCAGCAGGGGTAAAAATTAAGGAGAAATTATTTATTGATTTTTTTAATCCCATGATGCAAGAACCTTACAATATGAAGGCAATAATGGTAGTCAGTCTTTTATAAAGACTTGCATGGAGTTATCATATCAAAAGCATACTATTCAATTAAATAATGGGTCATCTTAACATAAAAACTGGATTAGCAAACAGATCTATATTTGTTAAGGCATTCCAATTTGAAGGTAGGGATTGTGAAAAATTTATTCAAGCCTGTGCACAAAGGTACTTTCTTCACATTTTTAATAAAAATCAACTCATGTTAATCATTATTATGAGAGGAGAAAATACCATCTCTTTATTAAAATTTAATATTGATATTTAGCCCTACACAATGTATGCTCATTCTACGCATAAAATAAATTGTCACTACTGAAAAGTACAACTCAAACAAACTTTTCACTTTGAACCTAGAGTTTGATGTTTGCATTGCCTCAGAGCAAACATAATCAAAAGTTACTAGTACAATTTACTACCATATTTATCATAATCTTATGATTAGTATCATAGAAAACACGAAATGGCCCATACCAAAACTTAGGACAGTTCTTCATAACTGTCCACAATATTTTGTCTTAGTAATATTCTTTGCATACATTTTGGAACATTTGATCTACATCTATGTTTTCCTGATAATTTGGCAGCACGGTACAGCACAATTTTTGTAAAGTGTAAAATACAGAGAGTAAACTGAACTAAAAGGCAGCAAAACGCAAGCGCGATGTGCACAATAATGTTGATGATGGCACAAAGTGAGATGATAAAAAGACTCGCCCTCTTGATGTGATCAATTATCTACATCATTATTAAACTGTGTAATGACACTATAAAATGAATGATACACTCTTGGATCCAAAGGTTTGATGATATGGGGGGGGGGGGAGGAGAGGAACAAGGCTATTTTTGACAGATGAAGTAAAGCAAATACAAAATACTATAAAAGGTCAATTTTTATGTAATTTGTATGGTACGGGTGGGAATGAAAAAGTATTTGGTTAAATTTCATTTAACTTGTACTTTTTCGTGGAGAGAGAAAGGTGGTACCCCCTCACCCCCCTTCCATTGCTGAATCCTCCAGTGATCATGCTGACATTTATCCTTTTTCAAATACCAACTTGGCACCACTTTCTTTCTTGGTACCATTTTAGTGATGTCCCTTTTTAAGAAAAATGAATAGAAAAGACTAAGAGACCAGCCCATAAGATAAAATTAAATCAAGTCCAAGTTTGGTTTTAAAAACAGCTGGTATGATAAACAGTGTTCTTTTTTTTATCCATCTATTAACCAGGTTTAAGAACAGCCCCTGAAAACAGGGAATTAAAACTGTATGCGACATTGTTTTTTTAAGCCACATGCCTTCTTATACATCTAGCTCATATTCACATTCCCTCTGGATTTCTTGTTCTTTGCATTTGATATGCATGTTCCTGTATGAAGTAAAAATGGCATCATATTATAACGTGAACCTCCCTCAATTCAATCACACAATGTCAACACCATCCAGATTGGCATTTCAGCAGCTACACAAATAATTGTCAAATGTGCAGTTGATATTACTATGCTGTATTAACAGCAACCAACCCACCCTCTGAGCCTCCAGCTTTAAAATGTTCATCATTCCTACTACTTCTCCCATGATGATAATAAATCTAAGTTTGTGTGGTAAATTCCTAACCCCAACTGCCCCCACTCAAACCAATGAACTCCCACATTTCTTGACCATATATGTATTATATTGCTCTTGTGCCCTTTTTAATATTTACAAGATAAAATTTACCTATACTTAATTGTTAGCACAATAATTAAAATTGTATTTCTTCCATATTTTAGCACTTTATCTCATGAGGATTATTGTCATGAAATATTTTGGAGTTGCTATATCCTGCATATACAGACATTTATTTACTGATGATTGAGGGCAATTGAGAGAATATCCAGCTTCCCTCTCTAAAATAAACAAATAAATAAATAAATAAATAAATAAATAAATAAATAAATATATGTTGATCCCCAGTTTCTGAAATATATTTTCAATACAAACTGGGATGAGGTATAACAACTGCTTAAGGCTGATGGGCTTTCCAAGGTGAACAAAATTACAGTTATGAAAAAAATTCCTTGAAATCACAAATAGAATTCCTCTCTACCCCTTACGCTGTAAAAATCATTGCTAATGACATCACATTAAGATGTATACACTTAACATGCAAATCTACATATTCATTACATTCTTGTACATTGTGTATAGCTACATGCTATTTTACATGGCATTTAATATGATATGGAATTCAGATTAACTCTAGTAAACAGTGACTCGCATCTATTGCACTTTCTGGATTTCTGGACTTGGGCTTTTTTCTGTCCTAGCAGGTGTCATCATGTCCCTAAAGTAGTCCTCTCGCAGTCTCTGAGTCATGGACTGCGCTCTCGGCTCTGTCACCGATTGTGTGCCATTTTTATTATCAAAAGATGACAAATTAGCATCGTCTGTAAGAAGAGATAGACTCTGTGCAGCTCCAATATGAATCATTGGATCTGGAGGGCTTCGAGATCGAACTGGACTTGATCTCCCTCCACCAGCTCCCCCTACGTTTAAGTCGTACTTCCTGACAGGCACGGCCATGCCACACCGTGGTGACCCAGATTTTCCATCCGAGCTGATTTCGTGTCTGCGCATTTTCTTCTGCATGTAATTGAGTTCTGTCTCTGATCTACTTGTGGGAACGTTGATACTGCTAGGTGGTGCTGCTTTACCCAGTGCTGATGATGAGAATGCCGAGGAGGTGGAGGAGGGGGAAGAGAAACTGGATGATCTGCCTTCATGGAAACTTGATATTGGCCTTTTGGAACTGAAATTAACATTTTTAAAAATTATTCTCATTTTACAGGGTAATTATATGTCTCATTTCCTCTCACTTGGCCCTACTCTTCATGGTACACAGTGTGTTTTATTCGTTCAAAAGTAATACAGCATATCCCAAAATTCATTCTGTCATTTCCTTCTCACTTACACTTTTAACATGGTGATTGCCTTCCTGCTTTTTCTACAAATAATTAAAAAGGCCACGTCTGTACATAAAAAGACTGACCTCAACACCAGATCCTCATGAGTTTTAGCCACTTCAAACTGTTTAAGTGGTGAAGCAGTGGCGTCATCTGGTGACAAATCTGGTGTCAACACTGGTGACATTTCTCTGTGACCACGGTGACGACCCCTCTCTCTCATCTGAATGTCAAGTTCATTGCTTCCATGGAAACTGGAGAGGTAGCGCTCTTTTTCTGTGAAAATTAAAAAAAAAAAAATTTGTTTATAACTATACTTTCAAAATCTTAACTGTAGGTAACATATCTATAAAGCTAACAGCAGGGGCGGATGGAAGCTGTTTTCTGGGTCTCCTGGAAAACGGTCAGAATTTTTCAAGTTTACATTGACGGGTATCTCATTTTTTTTGTTGGAAGATGGTCAAAATGGAGGAAGAATCAACAAAGATAATTTGGAAGACTGTCAGAGAATATATCTGGATCTGGCCCTGAACAGTATGGCAAATATTTTCAGCTTGTGCTAAATAATCATCATACATGATTAAGTCAGCTATAAATAACCAGACATTTACTTGATCTTTTACTGAATCACCAATTTCCCAAAAAGGGCCTCACCTTGACCACTGAGTGGACATCCAGTGACCACTGAGCGCTGCATTAACACATACAGAGCAGTGTTCACTACTTTCTGTTGTCCTTCTGAAGTGACGTCTGCGGCCCCTGAACCCCTGACCACAGCCTCGGACACTGCAGGTGCAATTGTGTGGTTCCACAGCAAACTCAACCACCTGAATGAGAAAATGTTTTATATTTGTACAATTGCAGCTATACAAAAATAAAGTAAAAACAAAATGCTGAATTGTAACAGCATTCAGAAACAGCCTAAAAAGTTTATAAATATAAAACTTATAATAGTAATATATCTACAATTCTTAGACACAAAGGATATATGCTGTTCCCTTAATGCTGCTGTTGTTACAATAGAAGAAAGATGAGATGAGACTGATCATGTGTGAACCTGTTGTCTTTTATTCTCTATAGAACCAAGATTTCAGCAGATAATATTTAGAAAGATCTAAAAAGTCATATGTACTTTTTACAAAGAAACTGTTATAGGTGAGTCATGTCACTTTTTTCTTCTTTTTTCTTTTTGAAATTAGCTGAGGGCATATAGACATTAACAAGCTCAAATCTTTGCATTTTTTTTTTTTTGCAATTAGCTGAGGATATTTAAACATTACCAAGCTCAAATCCTTGAATATCTCAAACAACTGACACACTTATCCAAACGTCTACTGTATTTGACCCCAGGCTTACCTGAGAATATTCTTGGGCTGATTCACCTCTATAGGGCACACCAAGAAATGACTAGGCCCAAACACTAGCTCTGGTAGCCCCAGTTTTCCCAGGCCATCGTTCAATCTCTGCCACACACATATCACCCATTCCACGGCGCGATAGACTGGATCATCCGACGGGGGTAAACGGCCGCCATATTTGCTGATGAGGCGGCGGTACAGCTGTCGGGATAGGAGCCCCCTCACTGGTTCGGTGTCAATGCGGCAGTTGACCCAGCGGAAGCGCTGTTGCACTGTTAGATCCAGACTGGCGCACCTATTTGGACAGAATTCAACCTTTGGTATTAAATTTTGATTTTTTTTTCTTTAAAAATACCATAGAATATTTTAAGAGACAGTTTTAAAAGCATAGAGCACAAAATAAATTAAATGTNTAGCATTTAATTTTGCCATTTTTAAACAAGGGTGCATTGTAATGAGTGTCACACCCAGACCCCAATACCGACAAAGCCCAAATTTTACGTGGAACAAGGTGAGATTATAGGTGACCTAAATCCATGAGATGGGTACGGGGGCCCTTACCGTCTAGGAGGAGAAGCGGTAACGGTAGCCGTCCGGCTGAGCCGGCGGAGCCGGCAGAACGATCCGGACGGGACCGAAACCATGTGTACCGCCAGCGCTAACGCTGGTGGTACAATAAATATCCAATTGCTCTTTATCTAACATAGCACTGTTAATGGCAGAAGTCAAAACTAGGAACTAAGGGATAAATATTATTTAAATATAGATATCCACTGATTGCAATTAAAATCAGCAAGATTTCATTAGGTATAAGTCTTTTCTTTACATCCTCAATAAACATTTGAAATTTCACTTATTTTCATATCACAATTTTTCCTACCTGGTTCTGTCCATGGTTCCTATTATATAACAGTTCTCAGTCAGGTAGAAAGAACCTAGTGGTTTATTGTCTGAAACATAAAATATAATGTTTTTAAGGAATCTGACACAAATACACTTAAATTGTAGAGTTGGTGTAACCATAATAGGACAATTTTTATCATCATTTATGTAGACAAAACCTTAAGCAGACACTTGGACACTTTGGGAACAGAACATTTGTTCAAGTTGAGCTGCAGATGGGTATAATATTCATAACTTTCAACTAATACAAAAAAAAATTAAAAAAGAATCTACAAAATTTTGAAATGAATGGAAGTTCAAGTTAAATTATGTAGCACTTACTGTATTTACTCCTAGAAGTAATCTTATCACATTTGAAACAAGGTTATCAACATGAAAGTCATGACCTGCTTTTTCATTTGATTTCAACTACGTAAAGGTGCCAAACATTATACAACCTTCATAAAATAATATTGTCTACATAAAAATAAATTTTACCTACCTAATTTCAGACCAACAGAATTCTTAGGCCCTCTCTGCTCTAAAGCAGGCAACAAATCACCAAATATGTCAGATATATTGATCTTGCTGAGATCATCTAAAATAAGGATTGGAGATTTCTTTGACGGAGGGGCAGTCTCTGCAGGCAGCAGTCCACCAGTGGTCATCAGAAAGTGGTAAAGGTCAGCCTTCTTCATGGCTGGAGTGAAGGCCAAGAAGGAAATTTCTGTTGAGTGACCACAGTTGCGCTCTCGAACCTGTAAAATGGACAAGTTATAAATAAAATGGTTCTTTAATGATTTCTGGTGCCTCAGTTATATCATGTGTTTTATGTACATATACATGTATCTACACATTTCCAGTATGTATGCCAACATGATGTTCCAATTTCCAAAATATACGTAGTATTTTTACTTTGTAAGAGAGGACTTTTTCATATTCCACATACTGTGCAAATCTGTTGCCATGATAAACAAACATCTCCAATGGCTGGCATGCAAATCAATTATAATAGCAGTTAACCATTAATATAAATGGATTGTATCATATAAAGTGTTGAACATTGTAAACATGCTATTCTGTACATACCTGTATGCAGTATGCCAGAGTACGAGCCAGGTACGTTTTACTTGATCCTACGGGACCGTAGAAAACAACATTCTTGTACTGTTCAATCTGAAAGAGATGATTCATATGCAGAACTAATATAAAAACATACAGCACCATTTATATAAATGAAACTAATGAAGTCAGGGCACTTTTAAGGTGTTTGCCTATTAGGGGAAGCTACATGAGATGTTTATCTAAATTATGCCATTATATAGTAGTTAAGTTTTATAGTAGAAACAATTATAAATATAAACAATTATAAATATCTTAAATTTTTGAAGAATGGATATAACAGCTAGCTTCCAATGTATAACTCACCAGTCTGAGATAATTCTGCAGTGTTGTTGCTGGGATGAGGGTTTCATAAGATAACGCATCCTGACAGCCATCTTCACAGCCTGACAAATTAAAAAATAACTATAAAATAATCAATATAATTAATATGAAGTATTTTCTATTCAATCTTAAGCTGATTTCTTTTCCTTTCGATGACAAGGGTGTAAAAACAACCACATTTTGCATAGCAGATGCTTTTCATGTACAAATATTCAAATCTGTAAACTTGAAGGTTTTACTATTATTCACACATCCTTTTTTATGTTTTTTCCAATTAAAAAAACTCACCAAACAGCTCTATAGAAATCTTCTTAGTTTCGTTATTACAAAGGATTTCAAAAGGGGATTTTGTGGAAGGAGTGCCAGGAGACCAACTGTGCTGACCTGGAATAAAAAACAGACATGCCTACTTAAAAAACCCAATACACAGATTAGGACAAAAGGGAAAACAGCTGACAATTTCAATGCAAAATGGACATGCTCCACTTTGAGCGTGTTTACTACTTTTGTATTTGGTTTTACAATTGTAAAGTTAAACACTTTTAATCAACTGAAATGATCAATTCAACATGTCCTCTTTTTTTTTCTTTTTACTTCAAGAATCAACAATCTAAAACAGATCAACCTTTTTGTTAACTCTTTCCTTAAAGGTCAATTTAACTGATTCAGAAATAAAAACAACAAAATATTTTTTAAACCTCACCAATTGAATATGACTTCACACTATCCATGGACAATGCCAGGGTGTAAGGTCCACTATCTGGGGATGGGGAATCATGCTCAAGACGAGTTGTCTTCTTTGTTTTTAACCCCGTTGCTAGGGTCTTAAAGTGATGGGATAGGACGTCTCCCAGCTTCTCCTCCAGGGTTGGCCATGATGTGTCTGCCATAACTTTGATAATGCCTACTGTGTAATGAAGTGGCTCGTTGTGAATGTGGTTGGGGTTTCTCTCAATGTCTATACAAACTGTGCACATTTTGTCATTCTTTGGTCCTGGTGAAACAGTAAAGAATTTCATCAAAACTAACTTCATTTGTACTTCTTAATATATAATATATATAACTTGATGAAGAAGTCCTGGGAATGTCTGACCTGTAATTAGTTTATGTGAAAAATTAGTTGTTCATACAAAAGACCAAGAAAAAGAAATAGAATAAGACAAAAAAAAAGATGAAGAAAAATGAAAAAGGGCCTTTTAAATTATACTGTCTTTATCTGACATCTCCAGTGCCCTAGGCCAGGCTTCCCTTACCCAGACTCTCCAGTACCTCCTTGCAGGCCTTGGAGGCCACGTCATACACTGTTCTCCCATTCTTGTCCCGGCAGTCCAGATCGAGGTCACAGTGGGTGGTCATCACGGTCAAGCAGTCCTGAAAATCAGGCAGGTCTTTCAGTTTTAAGATCATTAAAATCCAGAGAGAACTCTCATAACAAAGTGATAGGTCATCAAGGCCAAACAGTCCTGGAAAGATGGCAGGTCTTAGAATTTTATGACCATTAAACTGATTAAAAACCAGAGAAAACCGTGATAACAAAGTGATAGGTCATCAAGGCCAAGCAGTCCTGGAAAGATGGCAGGTCTTAGAATTTTATGACCATTAAACTGATTAAAAACCAGAGAGAACTGTGATAACAAAGTGATAGGTCATCAAGGCCAAGCAGTCCTGGAAAGATGGCAGGTCTTAGAATTTTATGACCATTAAACTGATTAAAAACCAGAGAGAACTCTCATAACAAAGTGATAGGTCATCAAGGTCAAACAGTCCTGGTAAGATGGCAGGTCTTCCTGGAAAGATGGCAGGTCTTTGAATTTTATTAACATTAAACTGATTACATATCAGAAAGATTTCTGATAGCACAGTGAGAGGTCATTGCGGTCAAGCAGTCCTAGAAAGATGGTAGGTCTTTAAATTTCATGATCATTAAACTGATTAAAATCCAGGGACTTTTAAAACAAAGTGAGAGGTCATCAAGGTCAAGCAGTCCTAGAAAGATGGCTGGTCTTTTAGTTTTAAGCTCATTAAACTGATTAAAATCCAGAGACAACTTTTATAACAAAGCAAGAGGTCATCATGGACCAAGCAGTCGTACAAAGATGATAGGTCTTTGAATTTTATTATTATACCTTTGTTTCCTTTATAGCTGCCATATGTGCTATAGTCCTGCCCTCTACATCAGCAATGTTGACAATATCATAAAGCTCAGCCAAGGGTGCTGATTGGCTGGTTGGTTTTGGCGATGAGCGGAACTGGCTTCCCTGTTTGTATGTCAGCAGCAGCTCTATACATTCTGTGTGTCCAGCTTGAGTGGCTGCGTGTGCACATGTCCAGCCCTCCTGTGATATATAGAGAATTATCAATATATAGTCACATCAAGGAGATAAAACATTTTGGGTGTTCACAGAGTGCGACTTCTTGTATTAGTCCAACTCCAATCTACACCCCCCCCACCCAACTCCTCCTTCTTCCATGTTTGAAAATCATAGTCATCCCACAGTCAAGTAAGAACAAATATCTATTGTGCATGTGCTTGAAATATATAGAATTCATGTAGATTTGAAAATCACCAATATAAAAATGTGTACATATAGTGTCCACAGCATTTTGTACACGCAACTTCTGGACTGACAATATCATATTTATTTACAACAATGTACGATAACTAAAATAATGACTGCAACACAGCACTTTCTTTACACTTTGATTCAGATCATTACATTAAAGGGATAACAACTGTTCATCTGGACAAAAAATGGGTTTGCCTGGGGTAAAAGAGACTTTTCCCATACCAATAGTTAATGAATCTGTTCCGACATTCAAAGTTAGTCCCTGCTTTTTTTTTCTTTTGGTGGTAAAATAGAATTTACATTTCTGAGTTGTTTATAACGTATTTATTGTGAAATATGGATCACATACAAAGAGTTGTTATCCCTTTAAGACCACCCAGACTTACACTAGTTTTAATGTCCAGCCTAGCCCCTGAGTCCAGTAACAGTTTACATATATCTGTGTGTCCACTATAAGCTGACCACACCAGTGGGGTCCAGCCCTGGTGGTCAAGGCAGTTAATCTTAGCATGATGGTCAAGCAGGAGCTTCAGA